ACTCAACCAAGACTACAAAATCTTTACTGCTTTAGTTACCAAACGCCTTAACTCGATCTTACCATCTTATATTCATCATGATCAATCTGGTTTTATACCAGGGAGAGACGTTACGGAAAACGTTCATAAAGCCTTACACATCATCTCATCTTGCAAAATACAGAAGATAGATGCCATAATGCTTTCCCTCGATATAGAGAAGGCGTTCGATTCGCTTGAAACAAACTACCTACTCGAACTGTTAAAGCATATGCGATTTGGAGATAATTTCATAAGAACTATAACAGCCATATATTCAAAACCATCAGCACAGGTTATAATTAATAATATTGCATCTAAGACATTCCATTTGAATCGAGGAACGAGGCAGGGATGCCCGCTATCACCGGCCCTATTCGCTTTAGCACTTGAACCCTTAGCGGAAATAATAAGGTGTGATGAAAATATCTCTGGAATCCATCTAGGTCACTACGAGTTCAAACTAAACCTCTTTGCAGATGATATGCTTCTTTTCTTGACACAACCACTGGAATCATTACACAAACTACAACAGCATTTAAGTACTTTTGGACAAATATCTGGATTGAAAGTCAACCAAACAAAATCATGCATACTACCCATAGGCACTTCAGCAACAACGAAGCAAGAGATCCAGAACAACTTTAGTTATCAATGGCAACCAGTTTCTTTGCCTTACCTAGGGATCAATGTCCCACATGATCTTAAAAATCTAATTAAAATCAATCACCTACAAAAATTCCAAGAAATTCAAAATACACTTTCCAGTTGGAATAAACAAATGCTCTCATTCATAGATCGACTACATCTTATTAAAAACTTCTTATTTCCAAAACTGCTCTTTTTATTCCGTGCAATTCCTATTGGTCTTCCTTCTACATTACTCCACAAATGGCAAAAAGAGATGAACATCTTCCTGTGGCAAGGGAAAAAACAGAGAACAAGCTTCAAGATCCTTAGGAGAAAAAGAGCACAAGGTGGCCTTAACTACCCTGATTTATCGTTATATCATAAATCGGTAATGTTAGTCTCAGCTATCAAGCTATTATGCTACAAAGACAAAGCTACCTGGGCACAACCTTTTCATCCACTTCTACAACCAAAAACTATACAAGAAACAATATGGAGTTCACAACAAACAAGATCTAAACAAATCAAACATGATACCTTCTTGTCGGATATTCTCCACACATGGGATGTTTTCAAATATAAATTATTGCCAGACACCTCCAGACAAGCCGAATTTCTTTTTCAAAGTTGGTTCCCTCCGGGAAATGATCTCTACATAGCGCAGAAATTTAGGAAGGCTGGACTAACAAGAATTAAAGATATCTCAAGCAAAACAGGCCTTCTTTCAAAACAGATCTTGGAAAACAAACTACGCTCTTCTATCCCTTGGTTCTTCTATCTTCAACTTAATCACGTTATGTCTAGCCGGAAAATTTTCTCACCTCAAGCACCTCCTAAATCAGCCTTTGAAAATATACTTGATTCAACGGGAAATTCGTCAAAAGGACTAATCTCTAAGGTCTACAATTTACTACTCGATCTTTATAATAAGAATGACATACCTTATAAAAACAAATGGCAAAAAGATTGTGGAATTACGATTACCGAAGACACATGGAACAAAATCTGGTCCTCATCTACATTCACTTCGCCGGTCATCAACACACAGATGCAGTCATATAAAATCATTACCCGTTGGTACTTAACACCGCGTCAACTTGCATTTTCTTCATCAAATTCTTCACCACTGTGTTGGAGAAAGTGTGGGAGTGTCGGCTCTTACGCTCACTGTTGGTGGGAATGTCCAATCATCACTATTTTTTGGCAAGAAGTTATTATGCAAATCAAAAGTATCACAGGATATGAAGTACCCCTGAAACCAGAAATTCTTTTCCTCAACATCTGGAAGGATCCGCAAATTCCATTGATTAGGAAAGATCTCATATTTAACTTAATAGTGGCAGCTCGTACCTGCATAGCAACCAGATGGAAATCACACCTTCCCCCCACGATTGAGCAGTGGTACTCAAAAGTCTGGGACCTTTTCATCCTCGAGAAAATTACAGACCATGTCAGAAACATTGACCACTTTCCTCAAAAATCCACTCTGTCTACAAAATGGCTACCCTTCTTCGAAATGATCACAAAAAATGACATGCAACCAAATAACTCAATATATCTCAAATTATTATACATTTAACTATAATACTTCTTGACTTCTCAAATAAACATAACACTGGTTGTTTATCATTAAATATACAGTTGTAGCGAATAACTACTGAAAAGCAATTCTTAAGTTAAATGTTATTAGATAATATTCAGTTCTATTACTCTGTACTCAATGTATTTTGATGATTTAGAAATCTGGAAATTAATGTTTTATGTTTTACCTTTATTGTACCATGTTTCAAAAAGTATTAATAAAATATTAATTGCAAAAAAAAAAAAAAAAAGGTTGGGGACCCTTGGAATACTTACGAAGCTTTGCTTTCTGCAAGTGCTAGATCCCTTCTTGGCCCCGATGTACTCCCCCACAACCACGAGGGGCTGGATTACATGTGTAAATTGGGGGTCCCCCTATCTCCCGCAGCAGATACACTTCGATCCCCATCATTTAATTAAGTTTGATTCCGTCTGCTCTCCGCTCTATCCCCGCTTGGAGTTGTAGGCATCGCAGCGTGCCATGTTCCAGGCTTCCAGATCTCTGTGTTCGGTTCGGTATGGGAAGCGCCTTCGAAAACGGAAGCCCACCTGCGAGGAAGCAAGCGGGCTCAGCAAATTCATAAAATACGTATAAAATACATTAAATCAGGGGTGCTTCCATCAGGCCCGCAGTGGAACTGGCCATCTCCTGCTTCCAGTTCTGCTGCTGCTGCTGCATCGCAGCTTGCTTCGCCAGACTCTCTCAATCGCTCAGCCATTTCATGTTTTAACCTGGGTCCCAGACTCAAAACTCTGAGCATGAGATTTCTGTGGTGAATGTCAATAAATCAAAAGTAGGTTTGCAGCTTACAGATGCACACTTGAACAGCATACTCAGGTTTGCAACAGCACAGACATTTTGATGCAGTGATTCAGAGCAAGAGGTGTCAGTTTGGTGTAGTGGTTAAGTGCGCGGACTCTAATCTGGGAGAACCGGGTTTGATTCCCCACTCCTCCACTGGCACCTGCTGATGTGACCTTGGGCAAGCCATAATTCTGGCACAGCTGTCCTTGAAAAAGAGCAGTTTGTGTCAGAGTTCTCTCAGCCCCACCCACCTCACAGGGTGTCTGTTGTGGGGAGGGGAAGGGAAAGGAGTTTGTAAGCCGCTCTGAGACACCTTTGGGTAGTGAAGGTCAGGGTATAAATCCAATCTCCTCTTCTTCTTCTTCTTCTTCTTCTTCTTCTTCTTCTTCTTCTTCTTCTTCTTCTTCTTCTTCTTCTTCTTCTCTTAAATAAACAAAATATTGCAAGACTGCTAATGTTTTAAGCATGTTTTTATTTTAAGTTAAAAAAATCTTTGCGTTTATGTCCTTCATAAAGCGACCTGGCATTGCATTTTATGACACCCATGGCCCGGTCCAACAAGGTCTCATTTATGTCAGATCCGGCCCTCATAACAAATGAGTTTGGCACCCCTGCATTAAATAATCTAAAAATATAGTTCCCTCAAGCCCGACATCACATAGCACCATAATACAGTTCTCTCCCCCCCCCCCCAATTTACATTAGCAATGGGGGGAGAGGGGAAAGCAGTTGGTGAACCGACTAGTTGTTAGAAAGGGGTTTAAAAACCATTAAAAACCATCGCTTTCTTCAACCGTATGTTTGGCGGAATGTCTCTGCTTTGCAGAACCTGCGGAATTCTAACAGATCTCGCAGGGGCCTGATGTTAGTGGACAGAGGGTGCGTTCAGACGCGGCGTTTCAGCCGGCATAAACTGTACCGGTTGGAACCTGTGCAGTTTATGCCGGCTGAAACGCGATCACACTCACCTCCATTTTGCGGATCCCATCGCTGTATGCCCGCTCACACGCTGCGGGCGTCGGCTTTTTTTTTTAACTCACTTTGAGCATGCGCATAGGCAGCCATCCACAGAATGGCGATCTTTGCGCATGCTCAAAACACCCCGTATTACATTTAAACTTTAAAGGTAAGGTAAAGGTAAAGTTTAAAGACCAAACTGGCCTCCCTTAAGTCCCGGACTCCTCTGATACGCTACACTAAGGGCTTTTTTAAAAAAAACAACAACAACAAACGCTCAGGGCGAAGCTTCGCCCAAGCGCATATCACTTAGTGAAAAAAAATGGCGGGCAAAAATCAGAAGCCTCGGGCTTCCGAACGGAAGTGGCTAGGCACCGGTGGAGAGCAATCAGACGGAGGGGTACAGCAATTGCAACCGTTGCACTCAGGATACCACCACTTGGGGACCTAGTGGCAGAGTGCAACGGTTTAAAGGCCTTTACAACGGTTAGGGACGGGAGGCAGATGTTCGCCGTGTGAACGCCGGTAAGTACACCGGTTGGAACCGGCACCTAAAGCCCCCGTCTGAACGCACTCAGAGAGTTCCACCAAGTAGGAGGCAGGGCCGACCAATTTGCGTTTTGATTATACTTTTGTGATCCACTGGGCTTAATTTTGGTAATGGCAGAATTCAGCGCCGGTGTTCCCTCTAAGCTGAGTTAGTGTGAGCCGGCTCACAGTTTTTTCAGCCTCCGGCTCACACTTTTTTGTCTCAGCTCAGGAAGGAGGGCTCCAGAGCAAACTAATTTATGCAGCAGCCAAATCTCTTGCTCACAACTTTAATGCCAGGAGCTCACAAAGTAGAATTTTTGCTCACAAGACTCCCACAATTTAGCGGGAGCATTGTTCAGCACACAGGGCAGAGTCTGGGTCTATTGGCGCACACAGTTGCTCTGTTGGAAGGAGGGTGGGGGTTGACACATCCCTCCATTTCCTCCCGAGCCCCTCACGCTCTCCCTTTTCCTTCCAGACAGCTGAGCTGCAGCTTGCCAAACAAAACGCGCAAGACCATCCCGGCGTGGGCGCGCACGAGCAAGAGGTGCGGGAGCTGAAGCAGAAGTAAGCCAAGCCATGCCCCCTGGGTTTCCGGGAAGTAGGGGCCTTCCCTGCACTTTGGTCCCATTTGCGTGGGGTTGGGTCACACTTCGACAAGGGTATCGGGCTCCGGTCCCAGGGTGGGGGCGGGGTGAGCACATGGGAATGCACGTGATATACTGAATCAGACCTTTTTATTTGTACGTGTTATACTGAATCAGACCTTTTGGTCCATCAGGGTCAGTATTGTCCACTCAGACTGGCAGCGGCTCTCCAGGGTCGCAGGCCGAGGTCTTTCACAGCACCTCCTGCCCGGACCTTTTAACTGGAGATGCCGGGGATTGAACCTGGGACCTTCTGCATGCCAAGCACTGAGCTACAGTCCCTCCCACACGAAGCTGCCCTTTGGTGTAGTGGTTAGGAGTGCGGACTCTAATCTGGGAGAACCGGGTTTGATTCCCCACCCCTCCACATGCAGCTGCTGGTGTGACCTTGGGTCAATCACAAGTTCTTTCAGAGCTGTTCTCTCAAGGGCAGTTCTCGAGAGAGCGCTCTCGGCCCCACCTCCCTCACAGGGTCTCTTGTGGGGAGGGGAAGGGAAAGGAGCTTGTAAGCCACTCTGAGACACCTTCGGGTAGTGAAGGGTGGGGTATAAATCCAATCTTTTCTTCTATACTAAATCTGACCCTTGGTCCATCAACTTCAGTCTTATCTACTTGGACTGGCAGCAGCTCTACAGAGTCTCAGGCAAAGAGGTCTTTCTCATCACCTACTACCTGGTCCCTTCAACTGGAGATACCGGGGATTGAACCTGGGACCTTCTGCATGCCAAGCAGAGGCTGTGGCAGTGAGCCACAGTCCCTCCCCATTGGGGTGAACAGGCTGCATGTGCAGAAAGGGGCTGGGATATTCACTCGGAACAGAGACACATTAAGAGGTGGGGGGCATACACCACAAGGTGTGAACTGCCAGGTGCTTTTTCACATAGTCCCTTGAATGCCTTGTGGAACTCACAGCCACAAGGTGCCCACGGACAGTATAGCCAAGCAAAAATGGAGAAGCAGGGGAGGAGAGTCCCTCTGGAAAATTCCGTATGGGAAGGAAGGGTGGCCGAATGTGAACTTTTTAGGGTGGTGCTGTTTTAACAGGGGAGTCCCCTGCTTTGAGGTGGGGTCCATATTTGCACCACCCCCGGCCACCAATCTTCCGCTTACTCCTGGTCCTTGGCTCTGTTCTTCCGGCGGCGGAAGGGAGGTGGGGGAGCAATTTGGTATCCTCTTTTGGCCCTGTGAGGCGGCTGTGAACTTTTTGAGGAGGGAAGACGGTATGAAAACCGAGCCTCCCATAATCCTCCTTGGCAGCATCAGTTAATTTCCCACAATGCATAGCACTGAGAGCCATGTTTGGACAGCTCTCCCAGTGGCAGGGTTGGTCCTTGGTAATTGGGGGTGGGGTTTTATGTAAATGAGAACCAACTGCCTCCTGCCGCCAAACCGGAGGCCCCCTCCCTGCACGGACACACAGTTTGGGGGCGCAACTTTGTGGCACAGAGGTTGGATTCCCATGTCCGCTTTCCTTTTGGAGAAAGGGCCTCCAGACGGGTCTTCAAAGGCTGCCTCACCTTCCCCATTCCCCAGATCTTTCAGTGTCGGTTATTTAATTTGTCAGCTCCCCCCCCCCATATCCCCTCGCTCAGCTTGCCTCTAGTAACGTTTCATAAACAAGCGTCGGAGCTGCGAGGGTGGTGGGACGGGCGGGGGGGGGGGAACTCTCGAGTGCAACTAATCGCCTCCATATGCGGCTTTATTTATCGTTTCCATCCGGCTCACGCAGGCTAATTCAAACCATCGAGGCAATCAGCGAAATTCTCCAGGACTTCAAGTACGATTCGGAAGAGAGCGGTTGACGGGGCGTCCCGAGGGACTGGCTGCGGCGAAGCGGGGGGGGGGGGGTACGTTTGCGCGTGCGGAGGGGGGGGTGAGACTCTGCCAAGGCCCGAGTGCCCCGTGCCCTGGCCCTACCCTTTTGTACCAGCCTTTGATCGAGCTGATTCGCACACAGGGCTGATGCCCCGGCAAGGGTGGCTGAAACCCAGCTGGCCACGGCGACAGCCTTTCGAAAGCACCCACGCCAACCACGTCCGGAGTAGACTCACTTTCTCACTGTCTGCACTGGGTCCAAACCGGGGAGAGGGAGGGGGATATGGAGTTCTGCTTTATCTTTCCAGGTGATGGGGAGTTTTTTTGGCCATTCCTCCTCCAATAAATCAGTTTCTTCTTATGAATTTCTGTCTTTCTTTTCAAGGGGAATCCGTTTTCTCCAGGCCCCTGTCAGTTTCCTGGGAGAGAGGAGGGGCGTGACGGGGGAACGTCACAATTTATGTATCTATTTCGATGGAGGGGCCCGTCCACCGTCCCCAGAAAGACAGGTCACAAACCACAGGAGAAGTAAGATTCAAGTCCATTCGCATCTGAGAGACCCAACAAAATTTTCGAGGAACGAACTTTCAAAGAGTCAAAGCCACCCTTCGTCAGCTACAAGAAGGAATGGATATAAGGACTCTGGGATCTTTGTTCCTGCTTGTCTCTGACGAAGGGAGATTTGACCTTTGGAAGCTCATACCCCGAAAATCTTGTTGGTTCCTAAGGTGCGACTGGACTCGAATCCAGCTCTTCTACCAAAGACCAACATGGCTAAACTCTTCGCAGAAGTAAAACATCTCGCCCAACTAGAACATTTTGTCCAATTCATTGACATCAAACCAACCCGGGGCCAATGTACCCTTGAGATCGTCCCCACAAACAGGTCGGCCTTACAGCACACCTGAAAGGTAACCAGGCTTGGGATCTGGTGAATCAACCCCCCCAAATTTGGGGGGGGGGGGGGGAGCGTCACATCCTGCTTGTGGGTTCTCCAGCCACTGCAGAACAAGGGATGCTGGAATAGATGAAGCACTCGTCTGGACGGGCAGGATCCAAACAGAGATGGAGCCTCCTTGTAAAGTGGGAATCCGCCTCAGGCAACGAACAGCGGGAGAGAGGGGTGAGTTGTGGATTTCCCGGCAGCAGCTCGCTGAACTTTGCTGGATAAATAGGCTAATCCGGCTGGCTCAGAGCTGCTTGCTTCCCACAGTGGCCAGACAGATGTTCTGTGAAACCTCAAAGGCAGGGATTAAGGGCCAAAGTACGTCGATGCCCCTCAACAAATAGTATCCAGCCCTGACCTGGATAGCCCAGGCAAGCCCGACCTCATCAGATCTCGGAAGCGAAGCAGGGTCGACTCTGGGAAGTACTCGGATGGGAGACCTCCTTGGAATACCAAAGGCGGGGGCAGGCTTTATTCAGCCACCTCTCTGAATATCCTCCAGGCCCCCAGTAAGGGTCAGTCACCAGAGGTCACCAGAGGTAAAGGTAAAGGTTCCCTTGCTCGAAAGCCAGTCGAATCCGACTCTAGGGTTGCGGTGCTCATCTCCGTTTCAAAGCCGAAGAGCCAGCGCTGTCCGAAGACGTTTCCGTGGTCATGTGGCCGGCATGACTAAACACCAAGGCGCACGGAACGCTGTTACCTTCCCACCAAAGTGGTACCTATTTATCTACTTGCAATTTCTTGCTTTCGAACTGCTAGGTTGGCAGGAGCTGGAACTAGAGACAGGAGCTCACCCTGTCTTGCGGCACCCGGGTCTTGAACTGCTGAACTACTGACCTTCCACAGCCTGCAGTTCAGCGTCTTAACCACTTGAGCCACCGCAGCTCACCATGCACACACATTAAAAAATACCCCCCAAAAATCCAACTAATATCCAAAGGTATACTACTACTAAACATGGAGGCTCCATTGATGGCTAATTGTCATGGGTGCACCCCCTGCTCGCACAAATTGTGTGTGTGTGTAAAGTGCTGTCACGTCACAGCTGACTTATGACAACCCCAAGAAGCGGCTTTCAAGGCAAACAGGTGGTTTGCCATCGCCTTCCTCTGCAGAGTCTTCCTCGGCGGTCTCCCTTCCAAGCACTGACCCTTCCTAGCTTCTGAGATCTAACAAGATCAGGCTATAATACAGCATTCCACATCCCTTGAATTTGTCTAGTCTTCCTTTAAATGCATCTAGTGACCATATCCTGTGCCAGTGAGTTCCTCAGGCTTAACATGTAGTCCAGGATGCCGCTTAAGTCGGAACCAGCAGGGCTATTCTTCGACCAGCATTCCTGTGGCCTCCTCCAGAGGAGGGTGTGTGTTGTAGATTTAACTCCCGGCACCAGATTTTTGGAGTCCGAGAGGCTCCAACAACCACAGGCCCCACAAAACAGCAGCAGGTCACAGGCCTTCACAAACCCGTGAACACAAAACGACTACACGACTTTTTTTTTTTTTAATTAATCGTATTTATTTTAAAAAGAAAGAAAAGAAGTCCACTTGAAATGTCAGGAGATAACTTAGCTGCCTCCCTCCCGCCTGACCCACACTTCGGGCCTCAAAACCTCCGGAACTTCACTGGCCGGGACGCTGAACGTACTTTGGAGGGCTGGTGGAGGGAGGATCAGCCCTCATAGCAAATGCGCCCTCTAGTGGCAGATACCAAGAAGGCAAAGACGGGAAAAGTTGGGAGATATTAACGTTCTCCTAAGTGCTGGTGGAGGAGAAACGTTGATGGACAAAGATTTATTGGGAGGGAGGGAGAAGGATAGGGGTGCCACCCCTTGCCACTTGACAGGGGGAGGAAGCAGGCCGTGACGGTGCCAGGAGAGAAGGTCAGTGCTTCGTTTGTTGTCGGAGCCAGCGGGCACACAAACAACCCTATTCCTCCGCCAGCTGCTTGCGACAGGACAAGCCCTTTGCGACTCCCTGTCCCGCCAGGAAGGAGAACCGGCCCCTGCAACTGCTGAACAGTCCTTGTCGGCTGGGCACGTTGCTGCTTCAAACTCTGCTACGATTTATCGCCGGATAGGACCTGGGAAGAGAGAAGGGCAGCCGGAGGCCCAAAATTAACCTTGGAGGGTTGGAGGACATGTAAAAAATTCAGCCATGGCCTCATCGAGCTGCAGTCCCGAACAGCTGTTCCTGGCTCTATATCTGGACTCGACTGACCTTTGGTGAGACAATTCACACAGCCTTCTGGGAGAGAAGAGGACAGGCTTTGTTTGCCAGAGGCCCATAGCTACGGTGGGGCTTTGGGGGGCTCCGCCCCCTTTCTTAAAGGCACAGCCCCACAAGGATTTCTCCTGTAAATGCTTTTTCCAATCATTTAAAAACATTTTTAAAGGTGTGTGCTCCTTTAAGCAGAGTGGGGTGCTGTAGTTGACTGATTCCCACGCTGAGCAAAGGGGTTGGAGTAGGTGACCTCTAGGATCCCTTCTAACTCTGTGTCAAGAAAACAGTCTCCTTGAAGAGAGTTTTTCTGCCTGAGTGTTAACTTTCTTGACTATAGAAGTCATCACCCCCCACCTGCCAGCCTGCTGTCAGGATTGTTGCTTAGGCTGGCAGAAGTGATTAACTTGCAGCAGCTGAGAACTGTCATCTAAAGTGGCTGGCAGCTTGCAACTTAGAGATCTATCCTGGTAACAGCTTTCTATTGGTTAAATGGCTTTTCTTTCTGCACTGAGAACTTCAGCCCCACCAGGAGAAAAAAAAATTGCCCCACAAGCCACAAAATCCTGGCTACGGGCCTGGTTTGCCATGAATGGAACCTCCATGCTCAGAGGCAGTATATCAGAGGTGGCAAACAAATGCCAGGGGCAGACTGCCGTCAGGACTGCCTGCTCGTGACCTTCCAAGGAAGGCCCATTTTGCCTTTCCAACAATGATACTACTGAATTATTACAGGAGCCAATCTTATATACAGCTATTCACTTCTGAGCCTGCAAGGGCAGCAGACTTCTAACTACAGGCCAGAAGGTTCTGGGTTCAAGTGCTGGAGCCCCTTGCATGGGACTGTCACCCAATCTCTGCCTATCCATAAATATGGCCACAGGACTGAGCATGGATACTGTGCAAATCGGAATTAATCTAGATAGCTTTGTGGGCCTGGCCTGCCCAAGCCATTTGTTTCCTTTGAATTTGAGGTGCTCCCAAATTCAGGCTGTTTCAAATGCCAAATCTTGTTCTCAGAAGATCTGTGAGCCAAAAGGACAGCAGTATCTCTGTGGATGTATGGGGGCGGGGGTCGTCCCCCTCGCTAACTCTCAATCCACTTTTGGTTTTGAGGGCAGGACTTCCTGGCGGGTTCTGAGCCACCCGAAAGGACTTGTATTCAATCGATTTCTTCCTGCCCTTCAATTGAATCTGCTGTCTTTCGAACCATAAAACAAAGGCTTCTTGACCTAGAATTTCATAACCTAAATCCTCTGCGGTCTCATTTTTCTTCCCAGGCCAAACGAAACCTCTCCATCCAGCAAGGGGAAATGGCCTCCTACTTTTACAACCTTGATCACCCTTCTCATCGAAGAGCTTTTACACTCACCCGACTAAATATTTTCCCCTCAAAAATATTAACTGGTCAGTATAACAAAGTATTCCGAACCTAAAAAGGTTAGTCAAGAATAGAAGAGGGCCAACTCTAAAAATCTAATTATGAAACATACAAAAATATACATGTATTTACTCAACATAAATTAAAATAACAAACAAGGGCCCATTCATGCCTCATATACAAATATAAAAACATACAAGGGCTAATAAGATAGACCTAACGCGTTTTGGCCTTTGCAGGCCTTCCTCAGAGGTCTAATACAGACAGAACATGTTGGCTGATATGCAAAAATACATACAATCATGTATATTTTTGTATGTTTCATAATTAGATTTTTAGAGTTGGCCCTCTTCTATTCTTGACTAACCTTTTAAGGTTCTGAATTCTAGGTTTAGGTTCAGTTTTTTTCCCCTTTTTTTCTTCTTTGTCCGGTATAACAAAGTCCCTTCTCGTGAAAGGCAATGTATCTGTCCTCTAAAATCAATAGATTCAATCCATCACATTATCTTGGAATGTCAACTGCATGCAGGTTCACGTAAGAAACTCCTTTCCTCTCCACTATACCCTAAACATTATGTTAACAATGACAGAATAATCCAATGTCTATTAAATGACACAAACCCGGACATTACAGCTCTGGTCGCTAGGTTTTTGGCTGAAGCGGTTAAAGATAGATAACAAGCTTTCTGTATGATCTACCTCATTTTGCTGTCTCTGTAACGCCTCCCTGCTCATATTTTATCACACCGTGTATTTTATTGCCATTAAAGGTATTTGATTTGATTTTGGTTTGACTTGTATTCGGGTGTGTTGTGAAGTGAAAAATACTGAGGGCAGTTCGAAAGCAAGAAATTGCAAGTAGATAAATAGGTACCCCTTCGGTGGGAAGGTAACAGCGTTCCGTGCGCCTTGGTGTTTAGTCATGCCGGCCACATGACCATGGGAATGTCTTCGGACAGCGCTGGCTCTTCGGCTTTGAAACGGAGATGAGCACCGCAACCCTACAGTCGGATTCGACTGGCTTTCGAGCAAGGGAACCTTTACCTTTACTAGTCACTCTTGAGGATGGTTTTACAAGGCTGAGTTCTTACAAACGAAAGGGGTTCACTCTTCGAAGTAATAATTCTTTTGCGAAACAAAGTTCAAGCCCAGTGACACCTTTAAGATCAACAAAGTTTTATTCAAGGTGGTTTTTTTGGTGTGGGGGGAGGGGGTTTAAGACCAACGAAGTTTTATCCCAGGTATAAGTTTTCATGTTCCACAACCTGGAGACCAAGCCCTCTGAGGAAAAGCTGAGGGACTTGGGAATGTTCAGTCTGGAGAAGAGGAGGTTGAGGGGGGAGGACAGGATGGCTCTCTTGAAGTATCTGAAGGGCTGTCCCTTAGAGGAGGGCAGGGAGCTGTTCCTGTTGGCAGCAGAGGAGAGGATGCGCAATAATGAGTTTAAATGAAGGGCGGGAAGGTGCCGCCTGGATCTTAGGGAAAACTTTGTTACAGTCAGAGTTCTGCAACAGTGGAATCGGCTGCCTAGGGAGGTTGTATAGATAGCCACAAGGTATAGATAGGGGCTCTGGGGCAAGTGATGCTCTGTCTTCTTGGTGCTTGGGGGGGGCAACAGTGGGAGGACTTCTGGTGTCCTGGACCCACTGGTGGACCTCCTGATGGCACTGGTATTTCTGGCCACTGTGTGATAAAGAGTGTTGGACTGGATGGGCCTTTGGCCTGATCCAACATTGGCGTCTCTCATTTTCTTATGTTCTTATGTGGTGAGCTCCCCCTCCCTGGCAGTCTTCAAGCAGTGGCTGGACAAACACTTGTCAGGGATGCTCTAGGCTGATCCTGCATTGAGCCGGGGGTCAGACTAGATGTCTTGGATGTCCCCTCCCAGCTCTGTGATTCTACATGCACGCACACTTCTTCAGATACATTGAAATAGAAGTTAACCACTCCATACATATAGGTAGAGGGTGGGCAGTGAATTAGCATAGAGCAGAATAAAGGTAACAGCTTTCTATTGGTTAAATGGCTTTTCTTTCTGTACTTAACAGATGTGAGGACCAAACTGGAGTAGCAAGTTTAGTTTATATGGTCACCATTTGTTTGGGTTTAATCACAGGGGGAAGCATAGTGAAGGGGAAAACACTGAAGGCTAGTAACTCGTCGTCAAACCGTGCTTCGCTTCGCTTCGCTTTGCTCAGTTTGCCATGGATGCCGGGGGGGAAGGGAACTCCCCAGGAGGGTGTGTGTGGAGTGTGTGACTGCTTTATCATAGGAGCATAAGCCAGGGCTATTTTTGGGCAGGAACGCACAGGAACGGAGTTCCGGCTGGCTCCCAAGTTGACCACGCCCAGCAGGAACTCATTAGCATAATAGCATAATAATTAGCATAATAGGCCACACCCAACAGCAGAAACTCATTAGGATTGGCTACATTAGGGGTGTGTGGCCTAACATGCAAAGGAGTTCCTGCTACAAAAAGGCCCCGGGTTTTGACCACAAACAAGGTAAACAGAATAACAAGCAAAAGGTGGGTGTGGCTGGATAACCACACTTCTGGTAACATGGGGGTGTGGCCTAATGTGCTAATGAGCTGTGCTGTCAGGGGTGTGGCCTAATAGGCTAATGAGTTCCTGCTGTTGGGTGTGGCCTGTTATGCTAATGAGTTCCTGCTGGGCTTTTTCTACAAAAAGAGCCCTGAGCGTAACTCTTGAGAAGAGCCTTTCTCTGGTTCACAGAGAAAGGTCCTTGAATCTTCCGGTGCCAGCTAGCATAGTAGGTAATGGAATCATATATTTCCCATGTGAAGGAAGGGGGGTTAGAAACGCCGGAGCTAGGCCGGGTGAATGTGACATCTGCATGGGGCTTAGGAGGGGTTACCTCCTAATTTGAATTACCTATATCTTTGCATGTACCCGCCAAATACTTCAGAACTGACACAGTACCATTAAGGCCTGGAAGTTGTTTATATCTCAACGAACCCTTTCACCGCCAAAGACAGTGTGGCTGAGAGTAACTTGCCCAGGAGTCTGACACCCATGCAGTTTGTCCTGAAATGCCAAGTTCCTGAAAAGACGGAAAAACGCTGAGGACTAGTAAACTCTTGCGGGTTGTTTTGCAAGACTGAGTTCTTGCAAACAAAAGAGTGAAAGTAATAACTCGGCCTGACAGCACAACCCGTGAGACTTACCGGCCCTCAAGTGTTGTCCCGCTTTGCAGCACACCAGAACATGTCGTTTTTTGACAAAGCCGTAGAGTCAAATACCAGTCATCTCTCGGGCTTGATTGTTTTCCTAATCGCCACCAACGCTCCCTCTAAGCTGTGGAGTCTCGTGAGCAGAAATTCTACTTTGTGAGCTGTTCGCATTAAAGTTCTGAGCGAGCGATTTGGCGATGGCGTAAATTAGTTTGCTCTGGAGCCCTCCTTCCTGAGCGAAGGCAAAAATGTGTGAGCCGGAGGCTAAAAAACTGTGAGCTAGCTCACACTAACTCAGCTTAGAGGGAACACTGGTCAGGAGCCCTCCTTCCTGAGCCAAGACAAAAATGTGTGAGCCGGAGGCTAAGAATGGTGAGCTAGCTCATACTAACTCAGCTTAGAGGGAACACTGCTCTGGAGGCATCCTTCCTGAGCGAAGGCAAAAATGTGTGAGCCGGAGGCTAAAAACTGTGAGCTAGCTCATACTAGCTTAGAGGGAACATTGCTCTGGAGCCATCCTTCCTGAGCCAAGACAAAAATGTGTGAGCTGGAGGCTAAAAATGATGAGCTAGCTCATACTAACTCAGCTTAGAGGGAACACTGCTCTGGAGCCCTCCTTCCTGAGCTGAGACAAAAATGTGTGAGCCAGAGGCTAAAAAACTGTGAGCTGGCTCACACTAACTCAGCTAGAGGGAACACTGCTCTGGAGCCCTCCTTCCTGAGCCGAGACCAAAAATGTGTGAGCCAGAGGCTAAAAAACTGTGTGCTGGCTCACACTAACTCAGCTTAGAGGGAACACTGCTCTGGAGCCCTCCTTCCAGAGCTGAGACAGAAATGTGTGACCCGGAGGCTAAAAAACTGTGTGCTGGCTCACACTAACTCAGCTTAGAGGGAACACTGCTCTGGAGCCCTCCTTCCAGAGCTGGGACAGAAATGTGTGAGCTCACACTCACTCAGCTTAGAGGGAACACTGACCGCCACAGGTCTCCCCCTCCCCCCTTGCAAAGAAGGAGAACTGAGGATCTCCTTACCTACCTGGTTCCGCGTTTTGTGCGACTTCTGCAGAGAGACGCGCCACTGGTCGTACATCTTGATGCTCAGGTTGGCACAGCCGTACGAACTGCCGTGCTTGCGCATCCAGCCGAAGAACTGCTTGAGTTCCCGGCGCAGCGTGTTATTGTGCTCCCCGTTCTTCGGCTCACAGACACCCGCGGCGCGTCCTGGGGAAGAGCGAGAGATGGGTGAGGAATGGCGAGGGGCTCACCGGGCAAGAGAGGAGGTTGATTCCCGTGGAACCTCCACGGATAGCGACAGTCTAGCTTTGAAGAGTGGATGCCCAGGAACAAAACGTATGGCGTCTACAGCACCTCCCGGTCCAGCCAGGTGGTCCAGTTAACCAACAAGCTGTACAGGAAAGCCGACACCTTTCCTTACGGTTTGTTCCCCATCCTCTGACATTCACAGGTAAACTGCTTGGGAACATGGAGGTTCCATCTATTCATCACGGCTAATTATCCACCACAACATCTCTCCTGATTTGTCTAATCTCCTTTTAAAGGCGTCTGACCTGGAGAGCCCCGGCTGGCCCGAACTCATCAGATTGTGGAAGCTAAGAAGAAAATATGTATAAGATGTTTTATAGATGGTATGTTACGCCAGATAGGTTAGCAAAGCAAAGTAGTAAGTGTTCAGATAAATGTTGGAAGTGTAAAAACAAGGTAGGCACATTTTATCATATGTGGTGGTTATGTGATCTCTCCAAAGATTTTTGGAAATGGGTACATTGTATGATGGAAAAAATAGTAAGGTGTAACATCCCCTTTACTCCAGAATTGCTTTTGTTAAATATCTTTCCGAAAGAGTTTAAGGAAACGGATAGATACTTGATTGTATATATGTCAACGGCAGCAAGGATATTATATGCCAAATATTGGAAGACCCAAGAAACACCAACTAAACAAGAATACATTAATAAACTATTAGAAGCGGCGGAAATGGACAAATTAACCATGGAAATGAGAGGTACGAAGAAATGGACATTTCAAAAAATCTGGAAGAGACTATATGATTGGTACAATGAGAATGGACTTAAAGATTAAGCTGATACGGCAAAATTAACATTGGAGTGTGTAGCAATATAAAATAATGGAGCTAGAGAATATTAACAAATGATAGAGAACAATGAAGCGATGGTGTAGATGTAGTAACAAATTGTAATAAGTCTCTTGGCCTATATGTTGTTTGTTGTAGTTGTTTATGTCTGTGTGTAGGTATATAAGAAAACAATAAAGGTGTACCTTCGGGTACTTAAAAAAAAAAGATTATGGAAGCTAAGCAGGGTCAGTTTTTGGATGGGAGACCCCCCAGGAAGTTCATAGTCGCTACCAATGCTCCCTCTAAGCTGTGGAGTCTTGCGAGCAAAAATTCTACTTTGTGAGCTCCTGGCATTAAAGTGGTGAGCGAGCGATTTGGCTACTGCATAAATCAGTTTGCTCTGGAGCCCTCCTTCCTGAGCGAAGAGAAAAATGGGGTGAGCCGGAGGTGAAAGAACTGTGAGCTAGCTCACACTAACTCAGCTTAGAGTGGACACTGGCTCGCTACACAGAGGCAGGCAATGGGAAGCCGCCTTTGAACGTCTCTTGTTCTGAAAACTCCGAGGGGTCACCCTAAATCGGCTGCGACTTGAAGGCACATTCAACACACATACAGGCACGCAAGGCTCAGCAGCCACTGTCGCATCTTGTAGCAGTGGGTTCCACGAGTTCTGAATCATGCAAACAAGCACGTTCTTTTGTCTGCCCTGAATCGACTACCCCTCAGGTGAGCCCGAATTCTGGAGTCATGGGAGAAGCAGAACAAAGTTCTCTCTTTGCCCTGTCTTCACGCCATGGACTGGATCCAGCGCAGAGTTTCCACAGGGGCAAAGATTTCCACCTGCAGAGTAGAACTGTATCTCTTCTCCCATAGCAGCCTGATATGCCACCCCCGCAAATCTTGGCATTTCAGGCTATTGCGGGAGGGGGGAGGCAAGAAAGTTTACCTTCTGCAGGGCAGAAATCCTTGCCCCAGAAACCATGCTCCGTATCCAGGAACCCATGTTTAATTTTATAAGCCGCTTTGTTTCCTCTCTCTAACTTAAGCAAAATGCTTAAGAACATCAGAGGAGCCCTGCTGGATCAGACCAGTGGCCCATCTAGTCCAGCATCCTGTCTCAGACACTGGCCAACCAATTCCTCTGAATGGCCAACAACAGAGCAGAGAGGCCAAAGCCTTCATAAGAACATCAGAAGAGCCCTGCTGGATCAGACCAGTGGGCCATCTAGTCCAACATCCTGTCTCACACTGGCCAAGCAGTTCCTCTGGAGGTCCAACAACAGGGCACAGAAGCCAAGGCCTTCATAAGAATATAAGAAGAGCCTTGCTGGATCAGACCAGTGGTCTATCTAGTCCAACATCCTGTCTCACACAGTGGCTGACCAGTTCTGGAGGGCCAACAGCAGGGCAGAGAGGCCAAGGCCTTCATAAGAACGTAAGAAGAGCCTGGCTGGATCAGACCAGTGGTTCATCTAGTCGAACATCCTGTCTCACACATTGGCCAACCAGTTCTGGAGGGCCAACAACAGGGCAGAGAGGCCAAGGCCTTCATAAGAACATAAGAAGAGCCCAGCTGGATCAGATCACTGGTCTATCTAGTCCAGCATCCTGCCTTACACGGGCCAACCAGTTCCTCTGGAAGGCCAACAACAGGGCAGAGAGGCCGAGGCTTCCCCCTGGTAAGAACATAAGAAGAGCCCTGCTGGATCAGACCAGTGGTCCATCTAGTCCAGCACCCTGTGTCACACAGGGGCCAACCAGTTCCTCTGGAGGGCCAACAACAGGGCAGAGAGGCCAAGGCTTCCCCCTGGTAAGAACACAAGAAGAGCCCTGCTGGATCAGACCAGTGGTCCCTCTAGTCCAGCACCCTGTCTCACACAGGGGCCAACCAGTACCTCTGGGGGGTCAAAACAGGTCATAGAAGCTGAGGCCCTCCTGGCTCTGGGATTCAGAGGATTAGTGTTTCTGAATATGGAGATTCCCTTTGGTTCTTCCGTTCACTAACTAGCCCTTGATAATTAACATTGAGCCTCCATGTTCAGGGGCAGTCTGACTCAGAATACCAGGTGCTGGGGACAAGCAATGGGGAGGGCCTTGCCTCCACTCTCTGCAAGCCAGCCTCTTACAAACCTTTAATGTCAATTTTTCTGCTTTTCACAAAGACCAGCCTCCACTCCGCAGACATGCCGGTTTGGTGGCTGACCTCTTTTGCGAAACAGATGATTGGCCACCGTTTCCCCTTTGTCTGCCGAGCCAACCGGGTGACTCTCCCCCCCAGGTCCCCCATTAACCCAGCCACAGCTGTGACGTCACTGGCCCAGTATGGAATTTACGTTCGATCCGTTGCAGAAGTGATTTTCCTCAAGGTGGCAAATGACACCCCCCCACTCCCGTCCAGTCCGACATCCCAGAGGCCAGAAGGGAAAAGATGACGTTACGTGGCTCGAATGGAGGGAGAACCTGACGTGACTTTCAGGGCCAGGAGCATACGGCCCTCCCAGCTGGGAAATAAGACCGTCAGCCTGGCTCCAGAGCAAGAAATCCAGGTGCCGGGCATACGGTGAGGTCAGGCTTTCTCCAGGGGCTCTTCGCTTCCTTCCCCGAAGGCAGCGCAGGTCTGGCTTTGGCACGGAACTGGTTTCTCCGGGCTGACATCTGCTCGGATTTCTGGAAGCGAGGGGAGGCGGCGGCCCTAAACAGCGAGCTGGAAGGGTGCCCGAAAAGCCCGCCGCGAGGGAACCGTGAGCCCAAGCACCTGGCGGAGAGCGCGGGCCTCGCCCCAGACCTTTGACGCCGCTCTCTGAGGCCAGATGGCGGAACGACAAGCTGGCGGTCGCGTCCTCGGATGGTGTAAACTTGCCCATTTGGCCACCACTTCTTTAGCGTGTTTCTGATACTTTGTCTTAAATTTATACAGGAAGAGTACAAAGGACATCAGAAGAGCCCTGCTAGATCAAACCAGTTGTCCCTCTAGTCCGGCATCCTGCTTCACACAGTGGCCAACTGGTTGCCCTGGAGGGCCAAACTGACAGGACATAGAGGCCGAGGCCTTCATAAGAACCTTTGAAGAGCCCTCATGGATCAGACCAGTGGTCCATCTAGTCCAGCATCCTGCTTCACACAGTGGCCAACTGGTTGCCCTGGAGGGCCAAACTGACAGGACATAGAGGCCGAGGCCTTCATAAGAACCTTTGAAGAGCCCTCATGGATCAGACCAGTGGTCCATCTACTCCAGCATCCTGTCTCACACAGTGGCCAACCAGTTCACCTGGAGGGCCAACAACAGGGCAGAGAGGCCAAAGCCTTCATAAGAACATCAGAAGAGCCCTGCTGGATCAGACCAGTGGTCCATCTACTCCAGCATCCTGTCTCACACAGTGGCCAACCAGTTCACCTGGAGGGCCAACAACAGGGCAGAGAGGCCAAAGCCTTCATAAGAACATCAGAAGAGCCCTGCTGGATCAGACCAGTGGTCCATCTACTCCAGCATCCTGTCTCACACAGTGGCCAACCAGTTCACCTGGAGGGCCAACAACAGGGCAGAGAGGCCAAAGCCTTCATAAGAACATCAGAAGAGCCCTGCTGGATCAGACCAGTGGTCCATCTACTCCAGCATCCTGTCTCACACAGTGGCCAACCAGTTCACCTGGAGGGCCAACAACAGGGCAGAGAGGCCAAAGCCTTCATAAGAACATCAGAAGAGCCCTGCTGGATCAGACCAGTGGTCCATCTAGTCCAGCATCCTGCTTCACACAGTGGCCAACTGGTTGCCCTGGAGGGCCAAACTGACAGGACATAGAGGCCGAGGCCTTCATAAGAACCTTTGAAGAGCCCTCATGGATCAGACCAGTGGTCACCCAGTCCAGCACCTTGTCTCACACAGTAGTCAACCAGTTACTCTGGAGGTCCAGCAACAGGGCAGAGCAGCTGAATTTATAGGGATGTCAGCCTCCAGGTGGGACCTGGGGATCCCCTGGAATTACAGCTCATCTCCAGACTACGGAGATCAGTTCCCCTGGAGAAAATGGAAGCTTTGGAGGGTGGACTCTGTGGCATTGTACCCCAGTGAGGTCCCTGGCCTCCCCAGGCTGCACCCCTAAATCCCGAACCTGGAGCTGGGAACCCTTCCCCCACCCCCTGCCAGCAGCCGAGGGGGACCTGAGAAGCCTAGGGCGAGGCTTTCCCCTGATCTTGCCTCCTGGCTCTGGGATTCAGAGGCTGACTGCCTCTAAACGTGGAGGTTCCCTTTAGAGAGCCAGTTTGGTGTAGTGGTTAAGTGCGCGGACTCTAATCCAGGAGAACCGGGTTTGATTCCCCACTCCTCCACTTGCACCTGCTGGATGATCTTGGGCAAGCCATAGTTCTGTCAGAGCTGTTCTCAAAAAAGAGCAGTTTTTATCAGAGCTCTCTCAGCCCCACCTACCTCCCAGGGAGTCTGTGGTGGGGATGGGAAGGGAAAGGAGTAAGCCGCTCTGAGACTCCTTTCGGTAGTGAAGGGCAGGGTATAAATCCAATCTCCTCTTCTTCTTCTTAGTCACCATCCACTGATGTACGTATCCTCCACGAATCCGTCTAACCCCCTTTTAAAGCCAGTATTATTTTGTATGGTATACGTTTACATGGTATATGGTATGGGAAACACTCACCGTTCCGAGGCGTGGAGGCCGCTGTCGGGTTGCTCCAGTCACTCCAAATTCCGGCCTTCTTGGAGCCATAGATACCGAATGGATTACAACGGACTTGGACAAAATAGACAGTGCCCGGTCTCAGCCCTGCCAGTCGGCATGAGGTCTGGTTGCCCACGTTGTCCACCACCTGCTGGGAAAGGGGCAGAGCTGAGAACCCCACTTCACAGGCTGAGGCCTAGCCCACATGAGGCCCCACGAGGCTCAAACCAGGAACCCGGCAGAATGGGAACAGATTCCTCATCTGAGGTGGCGGATGGAATGGCAGGCGTTTGGAGCCAGGTGGTTCTATTTATTTATTTATTTATTTGATTTTTATCCCGCCCTCCCGCCGAAGCAAGAAAACAATACCTCTAAAACAATCTATAACAGTACAATAAAATCGTAATTTACACACAGTACAACATATCCATGGCGGCAACTATAAAGTGCTATCATGCTTAGTCTGGGTTGTTAAATGCTTGGCGGAATAGCTCCGTCTTCACCGCTCTCCGGAACTGGCAGAGATCCCGGAGAGCACGGATCTCATGAGGGAGCTGATTCCATAATATTGGTGCAGCCAAGGAGAACGCCCTAGTTCTAGTAGTTGTTAGTTTGGCATCCCTAGGGCCAGGGGGGACTAGCCGGTCCTGCGACTCAGATCTCAGTGCTCTCGGGGGAACGTACGGGGAAAGGCGGTCCCGCAGGTAGGATTCTACCCAGAATCCTTCTAGTCTTGTGGCTCAGGCGATCCCAGGCAGCCAATCCCAATGTATCGTTTGGTATAAAACTTGGTATAAAATCCGCAAAGACTCCACAGATTGGGTCAACTCATCCCTGTGGTAGGTCACCAGGGACCGACTTAAGTTTATTGCTGTGGAGCAGAAAATCCCGATGACGTCTGGGTGTTTATCACCTCCTAGTAGAAAATCCAAAATGGCGCCCAAATTATGGTAAAAACAGAGTTTTTGTCAATCTGGTGGCCGACCCTCCTTGACCTGACCCTCCACACACATTCGTCGTCGTCGTCCCCCCCACAACCTCAGGGCACCTCACCTTCCACTCCGAACTGTCCTCCACTCGATACTGGATCTGATATTTGGCTTGGAAGAGGAAGTCTTTGAGGGCTGGTGGGGCGCTCCATCGGACGCTGAGTTGGTCCTCCAAGTCTCCGACGCGGCTCACGTGGACGTTGGAGTGGGGGTCGGTTGTCACTGTGAGGTAAGCACAACTGTTGTTGAACTGGACCGAATGTGTGGCCGGGGGGGGGGCATGTATTCTCTGAAAACACTAAGCCCCAAGAAATAGACGTGGAGAGCTCACGGGGGTCTACCTAACATTGAAACCGGGCAACGTTCAACATTCCTCGTTGACCCATGTGGCTATGGGAAGGCCAACAAGGGGTCAGTTGAAACATTTCTAAATTTTTCCAGCACTGGAGACCATTTACAGTGGCAGCCCCTGAGATCATCCTGTAGCACAACTAGGGTTTGCCAACTTCCAGGCGAGGCCTGGAGATGTCTTAGAATTACAACTGATCTCTAGATACAGAAATTAGTTCCCCTAGGGAAAACGGCTGCTTTGGAGGGTGGGCAGGATACCCTAACGGAGGTTGCTCCTCTCCCAAACCCTGTCCTCCCCAGGCTCCACCCCCCCAAAATCTAGGGTTGCCAGCCTCCAGGTGGGGCCTGGAGATCTCCCGCTTTTACAACTGATCTCCAACTGACAGAGAGTAGCTCCCCTGGAGAAAACGGCTGCTTTGAAGGGTGGACTCTGTGGCATGGTACCAGGCTGAGGCCCCTCCCCTCCCCAAACCCCGCCCTCTCCTGGCTCCGCCCCCAAAGTCTCCAGGTATCTTCAAACCCAGACCTGGCCACCCTACCCAAATCAAGAATTTCCCAACCCAGAATCAGCAACCTTAAACCCAGCCAACATGGAGCAGTGAGTGATCACTGTCTGGCTGGAAAGACCAAGTTCGTCTCCTCTACTTAGCCCTGTATCTTTGCTGGATAACTTTCAGTCTGCCATTCTTTCTGTCAGCCTAGACCATACACCGCAGGGTTGTTGTGAAGACAGAAATGCAAGCAGGGAGAACCAACCAACCCTGAGCTCTTTGGAGGAAGGACGGGATAAAAATGTGGCGGGAACAATTAAAAAATCGGCACCCTCCCCCGCCACGCACCAGGGAAGGAATAGCTCCTCGATAAAACGGCATTTCTCTCTTTCTCAAGAGAGAAACTCTACACCCCCCTCCAGAGATGCAAGGGGGCGTGTGTGTGTGTTTTTCCCAGGACATATGAAACAGGGCCCCAGCCTTTAACCCACAAAAAAGTCACTGTGGCATTTGAAAAGATGTATAGACGTAACGCCGCCACTTTTGTGGACTCATCATGATCCACAAGTCCTGGTTCAGATCTGACCTTCGCCATTAACTCTCTCGCTCTTTGCCTTGGTCCTTCCATCAGCAAGAAGGGGAGGACGTCCCAGTCCCACCTTCAAGGGCTGGTGTAAGAATTACAAGACAAATGGCAAGAAGTATGTTGAGCACTGAAAATTCGCGTGCTCTCTCCCTTATGTGTGTGCGTGTCGATCCCTTCCACTGGCATGCACCAGGGATGTCTGATCTGGATCAGCGGTAGCAGCCACAGTTGTCTCCCGACTGATCAAATCATCCTTCTTAAGCATGCCTCCATATTTGAAGGAGGCCAGCCTCAAGCAGAGACTCATTGCAGAGACACAACAGGCAGCAAATTCTGAAGGAGGCGAACCGCTACGTCCTTTGAATCAGGAGAAGTGATTGACCAATCTAATCACACAGAGATATTTATCCCCCTACCCCCAGCAGGGCCGGAGCTTCCTGGAAGGAGGCCAGAACAGGGACTCGTGCAAAGACACGACAGGCAGCCTTGTCTTTCACAAACCTATTTCTCTTGGCCCTGTGGTAGATCTCTCAGAGCACACTATTTAGGAATCGCTGGCTTCAAGAGCGTGCTCTTGGCCAGGGGCTCATTTGTGATGGGAAAGGCAGATATTCGAAACTGGAGGATAAGCGTTTCTTCCTGGCCATATATGGGAGCGTTTCTCCACAAATGGGACCTATTATAAGTGTGTTTGTGTGTGTGTATCTTCTTATGGGGCAGCCTGTGCCCGATCCCATCAATTCCACCCAGCAGCCTCCCTCGGCCAGCACGATTTCGCCTCGGCAGAGGCCCAGACAGCTAGGGAAAGGGTTAAAAAGAAACAGATGTCTTCAAATTGGGGAGGGGGGGGCGGCAGTGAGAATCCAGGAGAAATCTCCTAATTAGATTAAGAGCAATTTTGCTCACATATCATCTATTTCCTGCTCTCTCTCGGAGACGGAGCGCTCCAGAATCCCAGGGCCCGGCCTCTCTCTCTCTCTGTCTCTCACACACACACGTTTCCTGGCTCTGCGAGTGAGGTCACCGTCGTCCCCTGTGTGTGATGTCACAGACGTGACTGGCGGTGACATCACACTCCACGGATAGCCACTAAAGCCATCAGTTGGAGAGAATCCGATTGAACGGAGATTCATTCTTGACAAGAGGGTGTGAAACTAAGCGGCGGGGTGTCGGATGCTTTGTTTTTGTTTTCTGTCTCCTATAAAGTTTTGTCTTCCTGTCCATTAAGAGCTCTGCTGCATCAGTCCAAAGACCAGTGTTCAACCTGTTTCCTGCAGTGGATACTTCTGGAAGGCCAGGAACGGTTAGATTCAGAGGTAGGCCACGCAGCATGGATGGGCCTGTGAGCAGGGCTTTGGGGGAGGGGAGGGGCGGCAGGCCAGTGGGGCGTCCTCATAAGATGGCGCCCCTAGGCAATTGCCTAACCCTGCCTTATGAAAGAACCGGCCCTGGGCCTGTCCTCTAAGCTTTTGTCTATGCCCATTATCAAAGGCGTCTCATTGCCTGCCCACTCCATCTGGTGGCAGTGGGTTCCCCAAGTTACTTTGGTGTAGTGTGAAGAACTGGCCCCTGATTTGCATTTCATTTGGAACTGCTGATGATAAACCAAGAAGAAGAGGAGATTGGATTTATACCCCACCCTTCACTACCCGAAGGAGTCTCAGAGCGGCTTACAAACCCCTTTCCCTTCCCCTCCCCTCAACAGAGATTCTATGAGGCAGGTGGGGCCAAGAGAGTTTGCTCGAGAACGGCTCTTGAGAAAACAGCTCTGAGAGAACTTGTGACTGACCCAAGGTCACACCAGCAGCTGCATGTGGAGGAGCGGGGAATCAAACCTGGTTCTCCCAGATTAGAGTCCACGCTCTTAACCACTGCACCGAAATGGCTCTCAGGGTTGGTCTGGGCCCTTTCCCCTTGATACGCTAAGGTTTTTGGACTGGCGGGGAGTATTTTTTGTAGGGAAGCAAGTTTGAAAATGGCGCCCCCTTTGGCCCCCCCCCCGGTGTATTTCTGTCTCCTCGCTGAACTGGATGTGCTGCCCGCAGCCAACCCTGCAGATGGATTCTATCCAAAGTGGCATCAGACAGGATCGGAGAGTTCCGTGCGCAGCATTTGGATCTGTGAGCGCTCACGCGTGTCGTCCCTTGGTGCTCCAGAGCACGTGTGGCTCACAAGAGATTTAGTGACGGTCAGCCGAGGAAGAGGGGAATCCGATCTTACCAACATCGACGATGTCCAGCATGACCACTTCAGACACGGCCACCCCGAGTCGGTTGGAGGCTTCGACCCAGATTTCGTACGGTGTGAAGAGAGCCAGGTCTTTGGGGATGTGGCAGGAATACTGTCCGGCCGTGTGATACTGCTGACAGGTGTTATCCCGTCCGTACCACCTAGGAAGCGAACGGCAGGATTAGCCCCACAATGAGCCCTCGCACAGGATCCGCCTTCCAGGGCTGCAGATCGGTCTGTTACTTCCTGGGCTAGCAATACTATTGGATGGATTTGGGTCCTAGCCCAGGACGAAGCTTAACATTACAGTTCAGTTAGATGTTTCACAACACGTCATGCATTCAAGGCAGCTTTGAATACACTACAGGTTTGGAGCATCTGCAGCTGGGGTGTCAAACATAAGGCCCGAGAGGGCCCCTCCAGTGTTCTAATGCGGCCTGTGAGCAACTGATGCAAGGGGAGGGAGTGCTGGGGGGGGGGGGCAAGTGGGCGGAGCCACTCCATTATGGCTTCAGCACAGCAGAACAACCTCACCTGCAGCAGTCAAGCAGCGTGGGAGCATCTGCCCAGCACGGCACTGCTGCCCCTCCGGTCCGCCTCTGTGGGTTTTCCTCTGCGCCCCCCTCCCACCCCAGGGGGCCTTGCAGTGAGGATACACCAACGTGGAGCTTACCAGCTGCTGTCCTTTATAGAGTTTCTCTCTCCGATACCTGGCATTACGCTTTATGGCACACGTGGCCCGGCACGACGACGAGACATTTATGTCAGATCCAGCCCTTGTAACAAATGAGTTTGACACCCCTGATCTTCAGAGTACATTAGCCCTGCCACCAAGTGACCCTGGCCACCCTGCGTGGCTTGCAGTGCAGAGTCCGTGGCTACAATAAATTAATGCTGTTACGCAGGGCTCTTTTTGTAGCAGGAACTCCTTTGCATATTAGGCCACACACCCCCTAATGTAGCCAATCCTCCAAGAGCTTACAGAGCTCTTCTTACAGGAGCTACTGTAAGCTCTTGGAAGATTGGCTACGTTAGGGATGTGTGGCTTAATATGCAAATGAGTACCTGCTACCAAAAAAAAGAGCCCTGCTGTTAGGGTTGCCAACCTCCAGCTAGCACCTGGAGAACTCCTGCTATTACAATTGATATCCAGGCGACCAAGTTCAGTTCCCCTGGAGAAAACAGCTGCTCTGGAGGGCGGGCCCTATGGCATTATACTCCGCTGAGGTCCCTCCCCTTCCTAGGTATTTCCCAGCTCAGAGCTGACAACTCTGTACGCTATACAGTCTCTCTCAGAAAAAGGAAGGTCATTAGCGGGCAACAGATTCAGGAAACACAAAAGGACGTTCTTCTTTACAGAGTGCATGACTTAGCTTGTGGTACTCACTGCCACCGGATGGGGTGGTGATGCCTACCGGCTTCGTCAGGTTTAAAAGGGGGCTGGGACAAAGAAGAAGAGACTGGATTTATACCCTGCCCTTCACTCGGAGTCTCAGAGCGGCTTACAAACTCCTTTCCCTTCCCCCTCCCCACAACAGACCCCCTGTGAGGTAGGTGGGGCTGAGAGAGCTCTGACAGAAACTGCTCTTTTTCAAGAACAGCTGTGCCAGAGTTATGGCTTGCCCAAGGTCATCCAGCAGCTGCGAGTGGAGGAGAGGGGAATCAGACCCGGTTCTCCCAGGTTAGAGTCCGCGCTCTTAGCCACTACACCAAACTGGCTCTCAAAGTCTTGGAGAACAGCAATGGCTGCTAACCATGAGGACAAATGAAACCTCCATTTTCAGAGGCAGTATACCTCAGAATGCCAGTGACAACAGGGGGGAGCTTTGGCCTCTGTGCCTCTGCTTACAGAGTTTCTGGCTGACCACAATGCTGGATTATATGGACCATTAATCTGATCCAGCTAGGCTCTTCTTACATTCCAAAATACCTGAGGGACCACCTGTTCCCTTTCGAATCTATCGTACCCCTGTGGCCATCTCTGAGGCTCTGCCTTGGTTCCCCACTCCCTGAGATTAGGCAGGTGGTAATCAAGAACAGGGCCTTCTTGGTTGTAGCACCCAGACTCTGGAACTCTCTCCCCAGGGTGGCTTATCTGTCCCCAGCCAGGATGCAAAGACTTATTTTTTTTCATTTGGCATTCCCTCAGTGATTCCCCACCCCCTTCTTGTTCTGTGCTTTAATTGTTTTTTTTCATCTTTTTGTAGGTATATTTTAGCTTGGTTTTAATTGTTTCACTGAGGTGTTTGGGGTTTGGTTTCCATTGGTTTTTTGATCCATTAGGCACCTTGGGGGCTATGATGGGGACAGAATGGTGGTGTATAAATTTAGTAAATAATTATAATAATATGAATTTGGATACAAATACTGGATGAGGAGAAGAAGAAGAAGTAGTAATTGGATTTATACACCGCCCAAAGGAGTCTCAGAGCGGCTTACAACCTCCTTTTTCTTCCCCTCCCCACAACAGATACCCTGTGAGGTAAGTGGCGCTGAGAGAGCTCTGACTGAGAGCTGCTCGTAAGAGAACAGCTCTGAGAGAACGGTAACTGACCCAAGGTCACCCAGCTGGCTGCATGTAGAGGAGTGGGGAATCCAACGCGGTTCTCCCAGATTAAAGTCCACACTCCTAACCACTACACCAAACTGACTATCGTAGTTTCTCCCCAAAAGAACTACCAGACAGGCTTGTCATACAAAGACAAGGCATGTGAAAGGCTTTGGACATATGACCCAGCTTATACAAATGCTGTATTGTGCCTCCATCTGCATCAGAGCTCAGATTTCTTGGCTGCAGACCGCCGGTCCTTCCGATTGAACTCCCCTTTCTTTGGGATAGACAAACAAGGCTGAAAGCTGGCTGGGTTTGTAACACAGGCCTGCCTAGCAGGCATGGGTGCCGTGCTACCTTTTTTCCCCCACAAAGACCAACAGCAGCCCTGTAGTCTGGCCTTTCTCCCAGCAGCCTCACCTGAGCTTGTACTTGAGGGTGTAATTGGTGTGCAAGTAGGTCTCGCCTTCCGTTCCCGGTGCCCACTTGCACGTCAGATCCTTCAAATTCTTCGACCAGCACGAGATGTTGGTGGGCTTCTCCGGGGGCACTGGAGGAAAGGAAGAATAAACACGCTGACTGGAGCGTGAGGAGAAAGCAAATCCCCCAAACCCACGGAAAGAACGCTCCCTTCGGGTTCGAAAATAGCTACACTCCGTTGGCACCCCTGTTGCAGCGTGGACCCGTGGGGACCGACAACCGGGGCAGGCGGGAGAAAAGGCCGTTCCCAGTCGCCTTTTCCATAATTCCGAGACTCCTTTCGCCAAGCGATTCTTAAAAATAGCCGGTGATAAAAATCTTACGATTATTGATTCGGACAACTGTGATTTGCCAGAGCCCGGCCAAAATAGCTTTTCTCTCGGAAAAAAAGAAAAGGAAAGAGGGTTCTTGTTGACTACGACGGCTTGTCTCCTCATATACTCCCAGGGCCAGGAAAAAAAATAAAAGGTTTTTATCGGTTAAAGGTCTCGGGTGAGCCGTTAAATGCAGACACGTCAGAAGCAGAGAGGGCTGGTTTGTGTTAGGAGGGCTTTGCTTGGGACGAGCATGAAGCCGGGGCTAGTGAGCCTGGAGGCGGCCGTGTAAGGCGGCCCCAGGGCTATTTTGGGGCAGGAACGCACAGGAACGGAGTTCCGGCTGGCTTCAGAGTTGGCCATGCCCACTACAGCCCAAACCTCTGTGCGTGCGTGGCTACAGAGGGAAGGCCTGGAGAACGACACACACACACCCCGGCAGCTCCGAGGTGGGCGGGCCAGGGGGGCCCCTGGAAGGATCGGGGAGGCATTTAAATGCCTCCCCGTGCCTTCCCCGGCCTGTCCACAGGCTGGCTTGCCCGGGTTCCCCACTCCTCCACTCCTCCAAGGGCCAGCTTGCCCGAGCTCCCTGCAGCCGCAGGGTGCCGCGGCAAGCCAAGGGAAGGTATGGGGGTGTGGCCTAATATGCTAATGAGTGGTACTGACAGGGGTGTGGCCTATTATGCTAATGAGTTCCTGCTGGGCTTTTTCTACAAAAAAAAGCCCTGGGCGGCCACATATAGCGGACAGAGTTATAGCGCAGAGTTATAGAGACACAAGTCACATAGATGGTTGCCAGCCATCAGTTTCCATGGAGAAAATGGCTACTTGGGAGGGTGGAATGGATGGCATTACACCCTGCTGAGGTCCCTCCCCACCCCAAACCCTGCCCTCCCCGGGCTCCACCGCCCCCAAATATCCACGTATTTCCCAGCCTGGAACTGTGTTCCCTCTAAGCCTCTGGCTCACCCATTTTTGTCTTAGCTGAGGAAGGAGGGCTCCGGAGCAACCTGATTTGTGCAGTAGCCTAATCGCTCGCTCACCACGTGAATGCCAGTGACATACGAAGCAGAATTTTTGCTCGCAAGACTCCACAGCTTAGAGGGACCCCCCCACCCCCCAAATACCCTAAGCACGGTGTGGTTGTTCACAGTGTCCGCCCCTCTTTGGAGTGGTTCTTACTTCAGACTACAGATGTAGTTCAGCAATGGAGTGCCTGTTTTGATTCAACAGATCCCAGGCTCAGTCCCTGGCTTCTCCATCGCCCAGACCTGGATAGCCCAGGAAAGCCCAGTCATAAGAACATAAGAGACGCCAATGTTGGATCAGGCCAAAGGCCCATCCAGTCCAACACTCTGTGTCACACAGTGGCCAGAAATACCAGGTGCCATTAGGGGGTCCACCAGTGGGGCCAGGACATTAGAAGCCCTCCCACTGTTGACCACCACCACCCCAAGCACCAAGAAGACAAAGCATCACTTGCCCCAGAGCCCCTATCTATACCTTGTGGCTAATAGCCACGGATGGACCTCTGCTCTATATGCTTATCTAATTCCCTCTTGAAGCCATCTGTGCTTGTAGCCGCCACCACTTCCTGTGGCAGTGAATTCCATGTGTCAATTACTCTTTGGGTGAAGAAGGACTTCCTTTTATGCATTCTAACCCGACCGCTCAGCAATTTCATGAAGTGCCCACGAGTTCTTGTATTGTGAGAAAGGGGGAAAAGTACCTCTTTCTCTACCAATCTCGTCAGATCTCAGAAGCGAAGCGGGGCCGACCCCGGCAGGTACTTGGAAGAGCGACCTCCAAGGAATACAAGGGTTGGGACGCAGAGGCACGCAATATCAAAGCCACCTCTCTGAAATGCCCTAGCTCTACTAGGGGTCGCCAGAAGTCACCATGACTTCTAGGCTTGCAAGCACATACATACACACGTGCACACACAAAATACCACCACCACCACCCCAAAAAAGAAGCTTGATTTTGAGGCCAAGCAGGAACTCATTAGCATAATAGGCCACACCCAACAGCAGAAACCCATTAGCATATTAGGCCACACCCCTGACAGCACAGCTCATTGGCGTATTAGGCCACTCCCCCATGTTACCAGAAGTGTGCTCATCCAGCCACACCCACCTTTTGCTTCTTATTCTGTTTACCTTGCTTGTTGTCCAAACCCAGGGCTTTTTTTGTAGCAGGAACTCCTTTGCATGTTAGGCCACACACCCCTAATGTAGCCAATCCTAATGAGTTTCTGCTGTTGGGTGTGGCCTATTATGCTAATGAGTTCCTGCTGGGTGTGGCCAACTTGGAAGCCAGCCAGAACTCCGTTCCTGTGCGTTCCTGCCCAAAAATAGCCCTGGGCCTGGAAATGGTTTCTGCTTAGGAAATACCTGGAGATTTTAGGGGTGGAGCCTGAGGAAGGCAGGATTTGAGGAGGGACATCAGTGGGGTACCATGCCATAGAAGCCACCTTACAAAGTGGCCTTTTTCTCCAGGGGAACTGATCTCTGTCGCCTGGGGATCAGTTGTAAAAGCAGGAGATCTCTAGCCGTCCCCTGAAGGTCCCCAAGTAGCAGAGAAGCACGGGAGGGTGTAAGTAATACAAAAGGGGCAAAAGATCAAACCGTGCATGAATAACGGAAAATATATATTCAACATTCAAACGGTGAAAAGCCCAAATATAGATGTTTATAATGCCTCTTCAAAAAAACTCATCTCTATTTGGACTCTTCAGGGTTTGAGGAATTGGACTTGGACTATACCTGAAGGTGAATTAACACGACTGATTGTGTATTTGGACCGTGTGCTTTTGCGTTTCTATTACATTGTATTTTTTGAAAAACGACCCCATTTATATAGGTTTAGATTATCATACTCATTGAGTGTTGAATATATTTTTTTCCATTTTTGTTGTTGCTCAGTCGCACAGTCGAGTTCGACTCTTCGCGACCCCATGGACCAGATCACGCCTTCCTGTCTTCCGCCATCCTCTGAAGTTGGCTCAATTTCATGTTCGTTGCATCGATGACACTGTCTAACCATCTCATCCTTTGCCGTCCCCGTCTTCTTTGACCTTCAGTCTTTCCCAGCATCAGGGTCTTCTCCAGTGAGTGCTCCCTTCTCATTTGGTGGCCAAAGTATTTGAGCTTCAGTTTCATTATCTGGCCTTCCAGGGAACGGTCAGGGTTGATTTCTTTTAGGATTGACTGATTTGATCTTCTTGCAGTCCAAGGGACTCTCAAGAGTCTTCTCCAGCACCATAGTTCAAAAGAATCTATTCTTCGGCGCTCGGCCTTCCTTATAGTCCAACTCTCGCAGCCATGACTGCTGGGAATACCATTGCTTTGACCATGCGGACTTTTGTTGGCAGGGTGATGTCTCTACTTTTTATCATGCTGTTTAGGTTGGCCATCGGTTTCCTCCCAAGGAGCAGGCGTCTCTTAATTTCATGGCTGCTGTCACAGTCTGCAGTGATCTGGGATCCCAGGAACGTGAAGTCTGTCACTACTTCCACGACTTCCCCTTCTATTTGCCAAGGAGTGATGGGGCCGGATGCCATGATCTTAGTTTTTTTTATGTTGAGCTTCAAGCCCACTTTTGCGCTCCCCTCTTTCACCTTGAGCAAGAGGCTCTTGAGGTCCTCTTCACTTTCTGCCATTAGAGTGGTATCGTGTGTTTTTGCGTTTCTATTACATTGTATTTTTCGTTATTCATGCACAGTTTGGTCTTTTGTATTACTTTATCACCTTAGGTTGGCCGCCCTAGCTGCGGCTCAGGAACTCTGGCTGCAGCTTTGCACTAGAAATACACATTTCCATTTTAAACAGGCGGGAGCATAAAACCAGTTAAGTCCAGAATCTAAAACGACTTAATCGTACAACTGCCTCCATTAATAGCCGAAGAAGAAGAGGAGGAGGAGATTTTTATACCCTGCCCTTCACTACCCGAAGGAGTCTCAGAGCGGCTTACAATCGCCTTCCCTTCCTCTCCCCACAACAGACACCCTGTGAGGTAGGTGGGGCTGAGAGAGCTCTGAGAGAACTGTGACTGGCCCAAGGTCACCCTGTTGGCGTCATGTGGAGGAGTGGGGGGATCAAACCCGGTTCTCCAGATTAGAGTCCACCGCTCATAACCACTACACCAAACTGGCTCCCATCTGAATCCCCTTTTAAAGCCATCACATCTAGTGGCCACCATGACCTAGATGGCCCAGGCTAGCCTGATCTTGTCAGATCCTGGAAGCTAAGCAGGGTCACCCCTGGTTAGTATTTGGATGGGAGACCACCAAGGAAGTCCAGGGTCGCAACACAGAGGCAGGCAACCTCTGGGTGCCTCTTGCCTTGAAAACCCTATGGCAGAGGTGTCGAACTAATTTGTTACGAGGGCCAGATCTGACACAATTTTCACTTTGTCGGGCCGGGCCATGTGTGCCATAAAACGTAATGCCAGGTACCGGAGATATCAACTGTATAAAAGACAGCAGCTGGTAAGCTCCGAGTCGGTGTATCCTCACTGCAAGGTCCCGGGGCTGAGAGGGGGGTGCAGTGGAAGACCCACATAGCTGTACTGGAGAGCCAGCAGTGCAGCGTTGGGCAGACGCTCCCACGATGCTTGACTGCTGCAGGTGAGATCGTTCTGCTATGCTGAAGCCACACTGGAGTGGCTCCACCCACTTCCCCCCCAGCACTCCCTCCCTGGCATCAGTTGCTTGCGGGCTGCACAAGAGCCGGGTCCGGCCCCCGGGCCTTAGGTTTGACTCCCCTGCCCTATGGGGTCGCCATAAGCTGGCTGTGACTTAAAGGCCCTTCCCGCCACCCATCGCGTGGTCATCATCACTACCTCCTTCGGCAACGAGTTCCACGGAGTACCTATCCCCCAACGCCTGGTGGGCGACCCTTTTCTTAGAAGAAGCAAGGAACGGAAGTGACGGGTTTGGAACGTACATCCGACATAGAGACACGACCCGGCCAAGATGCCTCCGTCCTTGCTGTGGCAGACCAAGTTATCCCCGGACTGCTGCTGCGATCCATTCAGATTGGGGATGGTCACGCTCAGAGCGGTGGCACTCAGGACCTCATAGGCCTCCGCCGGGAGCCGCCGGCCATTTAGAGTCCAGTAAAGATCCTCGGCTCTCAGGCTCGAATCGGCACCGACCGAGCAGGAGGCGGTGAGCGAGGAGCCGATGAGGAGGGTGGGGTCTTGGGGGGAGATGACCGCCGGGTCTGTAGCAAAAGATTGGGACAGAAAACACAATAGATCAGTCTTCCTTTGCTCATTGGCTGCATTTTTTAAAAAAGCAATACTGGAACAGGGGGCAGTTTTGCCTGCTTTGTGGCCGGTGATTTTGATACAGGTCCTCTCTTTCTCCCCGGTCATGTATTTGCATCGATTGGTGGTGAGGTATGGATTTTCTTTTCTTTTAAAGGAAGAGTAATCTTTTAAAAGCCAAGAGTTTTAAGTCAGAGAGCCAGCATGGTGTTTAGGTGGTTAAAGTGTCAGACAAGTATCTGAGAGACTCGGGTTCGAATCCCCACTCTTCCACAGAAACTCGCTGGGTGACCTTGGGCCAATCACATACTCTCAGCAGGACCTACCTCACAGGGTGGTTGTCAGGGCTTTTTTCTTTCTGGAAAGAGAGGTGCCAGAACTCTCAAAAGGGAAATGAAAGAGAAACTCGTGGGATTCTTTGAAACCCTTGTTTCGATCTTATTTTTAAAAGAATGTTAATATTTTTGTAACATCAGAAGTGACGTCAAGTTCCCCAGGTGCCCCTCGTGAACTTTTAAAAAAAATATGACAATTTTCTTTCTATGAAGAGATTTTGGAACTCTGGTCCAGTGCATTCCCCCCCCCCAAAAAAAAAATCCCTGGTTGTTGTGAGGCCAAAACAGAGGAGAAGAAAATGTTGTAAGCTGCTTCAGATCCCCGTTGGGTGAAAGGCGGGATATACGTAACGTAAATAATTTTTTTTAATAACACAAAATGTGGAGAACTGCAAGCATTTCTAAGGCTTGGAATGAGAGTCACAGAGGAGGAAGCTATGACCAGTAAACTTCCAACGTCCTTAATTTATTTCTCGCGGAATGACGCGAGAAATGGCAGGCACTGCAAACAGGCCAGGATGGAAAATGTCTAAAAGTCTTGGAGGAGGATGGAGCTGAGGCCCGATATATTTTACTATTTTCATTTTTTATTGTGGAGTGACTCACAAAACGGTAGGCATGGCAAAGATTTGAGCCTAGGATATCCTCTGCAAAGCTATGGCTAATAGAATTCCATCACAACGTTCGAAACTATAACATTGGGGGGGGGGAGCTCTAATGGCTATGTTTGCACCTTCTGAGAAGGCAGATTGTGCGATCCCTTTGCCACAGGGGAGGTTCAAAGGGCACCTTCCCTTCCCTTTTGTGTGCTACCACTCAAGGGCAAATAGTGATGGACAGAGGAAGAAGCTGAGGCCAAGCAAAAGGCACGTGAAAGAACCACTCACACCCACTGTGCAAAGATACATTCCCTACAACTGCTCCAATGTCCAGCCCTCGAGGCACCCACTTCTAGTAGCACCAGGCTGTTTGATGGGGCCCTGGGGTGCTCCATGAAGCCAAGATGCAGATTGGCGAAACTGGAGTGACTTCAGTGTAATGTGGAAACTACAAATACCCTGAGATAATCAGGGGGGTTAACTCAAGTGTAGTGTAGAATTTAAAAATACCCCGAGATAATTACAGGGGTGAACTCGCGTGTAGTGTAGAATGTAAGTTCGGGGACAGGGTTGGACAAGGATTTAAGGTCTAGTGCAGAAAGCGCACAAATAAAATCAAGATTAAAACTATAAACTTAACCCTTAAACGATGGGGATCAAATTATATCACAACTACTACAATGGTTGCCCTGGTGTTAGACAATTAAAGGGAGAAAGGGCTCGATCCCATCAGGGACTCCAGATGATAAGTACCCTACCTTGGGTAAACCAAGGCGGTTATCATTCTGTGTCCTCGAGAATTGAAGAAGAAGAAGAGAAGACTGGATTTATACCCCGCCCTTCACTCGGAGTCTCAGAGCAGCTTACAAACTCCTTTCCCTCCTCCTCCCCACAATAGACTCCCTGCGAGGTAGGGTGGGGCTGAGAGAGCTCTGACAGAAACTGCTCTTTTTCAAGAACAGCTGACAGAACTATGGCTTGCCCAAGGTCATCCAGCAGCTGCAAGTGGAGGAGTGGGGAATCAATTCCAGTTTTCCCAGATTAAAGCCCACACACTTAACCACCACACCAAACTGGCCAATGGTGCAGATGGTAACAGAGAGGAAACAGGAGGGGCCAGATGATATTTGACGTCCGCCGACTCACCCAAAAGACTGGCGGAAGAGTTCCGTCTTACAGTCCCTGTAGAACTGTAAAAGGTCCCCCAGGGCCCTGAGCTCTAGCAGGAGCTCATTCCACCAGGTTGGGGCCAGGGCCGAAAAAGCCCTGGCCCTGGTCAAGGCCAGACGGATGTCTTTTGGGATGGGGATCACCAGTAAGTGTTGATCAAATGAGCACAAGGCTCAACGGGGCACAGACAGGGAGAGGTGGTCCCATAAGTATATTGGTCCCTGGCTGCTTAAGGCCTTAAAGGTAGGTAAAAGCAGGGCTATTTTTGGGCAGGAACGCACAGGAACGGAGTTCCGGCTGGCTCCCAAGTTGGCCACGCCCAGCAGGAACTCATTAGCATAACAGGCCACACCCAAGAGCAGAAACTCATTAGGATTGGCTACATTAGGAGTGTGTGGCCTAACATGCAAAGGAGTTCCTGCTACAAAAAAAGCCCTGGTTTGGACAACAAACAAGGTAAACAGAATAAGAAGCAAAAGGTGGGTGTGGCTGGATGACCACACTCCTGGTAACATGGGGGTGCGGCCTAATGTGCTAATGAGCTGTGCTGTCAGGGGTGTGGCCCAATATGCTAATGAGTTCCTGCTGTTGGGTGTGGCCTATTATGCTAATGAGTGCCTGCTGGGCTTTTTCTACAAAAAGAGCCCTGAGTAAAAGTAAGTACCTGGCATCCTGCATCCAACCAGCTAAAAGGAGAAGCTCAGTCCCCAGAATCCAACAGTCCAAGGCAGACTGCCTCTGTTAATGGAAGCCTTATGGTGCCTGCTGTAGCTAATATCCCTCAACAGGCCTGATGCTTGTCACTCTTCTGATGGAAAAAGTGGGTTTAGGATCGTGGAACCAAATGTGTGCTCTGCCTGGGGGCAGGGTTGTGCAAGGCCCCATTTTTTCCATGGGAATCTGCTATACCATGGACTGCAGTTGCCAAGAACTGTCCATCCATTGTTGGGAGAATTGTAGGTATCCTTCGGGGAGCTGCCACCAGATGGCGCCACCCCCCACGCACTCTCGGGGGCAAATTCCAGTTTATTTGGGTTGGGGGAATTGGTTCAAAGCAGGAGTCTTTGGACACATCAGTGGGTCAGATGTGAATGAGTACAGAGAAAGATTTATGATCCTGTTTTGAACTACACTATTAATCAAGCACCGTTGACATACATAAGGTGGCAACGAAAACAGATGCCGGCAGAGAAGGCACAGCTTTAGGAATCAAGCCCTGTCATCAAATGAATCACAGCTGTGTCGCTCATATCATATGAAGAGATGGAGAACAAACTGCTCACTTTGAACCAAATACTAGGGAAGATACCGAATTTTTTTTGGGGGGGGGAACTCTCACTCAACTTGAATATTGGGGAGGATGCCAAATTTTTTTGGGGGGAAACCCCTCTCACTTGAACCCAATACTAGGGAGGTTACCGAATTTTTTGGGGGGGAACCCTCCCACTTGACCTGAATAACTAGGGAGAATACTGAATTTTTTGGGGAAAACTCTCACTTGACACGAATACTAGGGAGGATACTGAATTTTTGGGGAAAACCCTTCTTGCTTGACCTGAATACTAGGGAGAATACCGAATTTTGAAAATTCACCTGTTTTGATTCAAACATCCCCCTTTTCAGTTTATCTTCTCCCCTGTGAGAAACAAATCCCAGAGTTTTTATTATCACACAAGTTTCCCTTTCCTCGTGTGAAATTTTCCCTGTTAAAATGGACACACTTTTCCACCTTACTTTTGCGTCCATGGCTGGTAAAAGGCATGAAAGAAACAAGAGAATGACAACAGACGGAATAAGAGATGAACATAACATCTCCTGGAAAAAATAACTCCTGAGAAGCGGTCCCCTCTTCCACCCCCCTGAACAAACCAGTGACCCATGCAGCCCAGGAGGTTCTGGCCCTGGGTTTTAGGAAGAATCATCCACCCACCCCCAGAGAAACTATCACCAGTGAATGAAAGGCGGCCATCTTGGTCCTTTGTTCTACCAACTGAACCCCTCTCCCCTCCAAGCAAAAATGCATACTAATTGCTCCTCCGGTTGGAAGGGAAGTCTACAAGATTGAGATCCTGGACATCTGGTCCCACTCAGCCAAAGGCCAACCGAATATTAAGGTAATTCCTTTGGTCTGCGGAGGTATCCAGGGACGGATGCCTGGATTGAATTCTGTGTGGTATTCCCTCGAGGCGGCTCATCAGGGGAGAGGCGGGGAAGTCCGAGTATTTCTGCTTTGCAAGTTCTCTCTCTTTCGGGTGTGCAAATTCAAATTCGGGAGAGGGGAACCGAAAGCACAAAGAGGATAGTTTCTTTTCCAGAGATCTGCAGGAGAGACGGCGGCTTCTGGCTTGCCCCACTCAACCTCCCCCTGCCCCTAGTCAACAGGTATGGCAGGTTCTGAAGGCAAATACAGTTGTGCCGTTGACACCAGTTGGTGGAAAGACCTGGCCTATGGGGATGGCCGTTACTGTGCCTACCCACAAGGAATTCACTGCCCCCCGACCCGACCCTCCCTACCCCAAAACTGCTGCTTTAGATTGAGTCATTGTGCCAATGAACAGCAGTCGCTTCCATATCACCCCTGCTGGATTGGGTCCAAAGAAGAAATGAACGGAGAAAGTGGGGCCCAGGATGCCTATGTCAAATAATGTATTTACTTAGACCCTTTTTATACCTCCTTTCCACCCAATCAGGGTCCCCAAAGCGGTGCATACAAGACATTTGAACATATAAAACAGCATTTGAAATGATAAAATAATTCAGTAAAAAGGTAAAGGTTCCCTTGCTTGAAAGACAGTCGAATCCGACTCCGTTTCCAAGCCGAAGAGCCAGCACTGTCTGAAGACGTTTCCG